TAGTGGCCCCGGGGCCCTAAGCAGCCACTTGGTTTGCTTATGCCTTGGGCCGGCCCTGACAGGGACACATATACAAATGAGACAATAGTTACCAGTCAGTATAACATGCATGTTTTTGGTCTACTGGAGGAAATCGTAGTACCCTGGGAAAACCCATGCATGCACAGAGAGAACATGCAAACTCCACCCAGAAAGGTCCCCAGCTGGGATTTGAACCAGCGACCTGCTCGCTGAGAGGCGGCAGCTCTAACAACTGTGCCACCGTTCAGCCAACTTTGCAATACATACCTTTAAAAAGCTGAATCTCAAAGCTGAACTTGTGAAAATGTAATTCAGGGGTACCACATCTTCTTGCAATGTAATAGCTGGGAATACTCAAGGTTGTCTTCAACTAATATGTACTGGAGGAGGATGACTCGCTGTGGCAACCCCTGAACGGGGGAAAGCCAAAAGAAGAAGAGTACTCAAGGTTGTCTTCCTGTCAAAAGATGTGATCCAGCTTTGACTTTCTGTGCACATGTCCTTGGGTAACAGCATCATCACCGTCATACCCTCAAACACTCATTGTTTGTGTGTTTATATGAGCAATAAGGGCTTCATATATGTAGAGTACAAATGCATAAAAGAAAACTTTGAGAATGAGAAACTCCTTGTAAAGACGCATTATAGAAGGTAGAAGAGAGTAAAACTGCTATAAATGTGTTAAAAATAAACAAAAGTCTTAAACTTTTCATCAGTTTATTCTCTTCTCCATCTCCTCCTTCCTCTTGAAGTTATCTTCATAAAGTTGCAGAATAGAAGAGACTGTTGGCAGTTTTTACCCCTAAGTTTTCCAACTCTTATGGGACCGTCTTATCGCAGATATTTCCTGTGGTGTCTGTCGTTGCTGGTGCTAATATTGTGTTTGAAGTTTATGTTTTTGATGCTTATTTTTCCTTAGAGACAATGTTCCGTGGAGCAAAAATAATGACACGAACCAAAAATAGAAAAAAGGGTTTAAAAGCTGTTGACAAAAATTTGCATTTATTGTGGCCAGAAGGTCAATAACAGTTTGTAATGAAGGTCAGATTTACACACAGACTTAGTCATGCATGAAATACTCCATCTGCTCAGATGTATTCGGGATAAATTTTACTAACGTTATTCTGCTTTTTCTTAAGAGCCTCTTGGCTATGCGTAAGTGCAGATGGAACAACAATTAGTGTATTTCCGTTGCTTTCCTTCCAGATCAATAAACACAGTCTTGTTTTTTTTTGTTTGTTTCGTTCTGAAGAACAACTTGAGGAGGATAAATTGCACAGTAACGGAGGTAAAGTATTGTCATTGGAGCTCAAAAACACTCATTTTGGCTGCCCACTTTTGAGTCTTTTATTTCTTTTGCTCTTTGTTTTTCTCATCCACTTAAAAGTTTGAACATAAGTTAACTTGTGTTATGACTCATGCAGCTTTGCCCTGCTTTGCTTTTATGCAGTTTTCCTCTCATTCCTTTGCTCCATCCACTGATGCTTAATCAGCTTCACGTCAGCGTATTTTAACACTGCTGCTCTACTAATTTATCCACGTTAGAAAACAGCGAAGAGAGTTCTGCATCGCTCAAACCGAACATTCAGCTTCTTGTAAATGTTCGCTTGCTTCATGCTGCTTGGACTGATTTCTCTTACTGTTACGTCTTGGAGATATTCCCGAGATATTGTCTTAGAAATGAATGCAAAGCAAAAAACACTTGTTTTTATCTTGATTTTGAAGATGCTTCAATACAAAAAGGAAAAATATACAATTTTATTTCAAACGGTGTCTAGACATAGAAGCATTTTTACAACTGTAAAAGTGTAACTTAATTGAATTTCACATAAGCATTAGATATTTTAAATTCTGAAAAACGCTTAAAAAATGGAATTATGAGGTCCTTTAAGCAATCATATTACAGTATGTTATTTTTTCTAAAACAATTTGTATATAAATTAACCCTATTTGTCTGCATGGAACTCACAAAGAAAACGCAACGTCAAAAACCTGTGCAAATATCACCAACATAAATTGCGTGGCTAGACGATGTCAAGAAAACCTGCTGTTTATAACCTGAGTTGATCTTTTAAAGGCGGTGAAAGTGTTTGATTTTGAAATTTCAGTTGTGGCTAACTGGCTCGTCCTAACAAATCTGACATTTCTTTACCCACATGCTAAAAATGTTGCTGTGGTCTTCATGTCCCTTACTTTTTCTACTGAGTTAGCAGCTTCATCATCTCTGACAGCATTTACTGACTGAGGACCTTGTTGGACTTAGCTGCTACATTTTAGCTTACAGAAGCTGCAAACACTTATAAGTGTACAACACTTTGTAATGAGACCTTTGTTCCTTACAAGTAAATTTTATTTCCCAACTCCTTGGATTACAAAAGCAACATAAAGCGCATTAAGCCTTTTAAACTTGGCTTTTGTGGCTTACATTAAAAAAAAAGCTAAATTTCTTTTTGTTTTAGTGTTTTCTAAAAAGTTGTAAAAATTCCTAAAAATGTTGGCGGAATGCTGAATATTTGGGGATATTCTTCACATTTGAGTAAAATCTACCAAATTCTAGAATTTTCTTGCTATAAATAGATCAAGAACATATTTATCAAATGGCTTTTCTTGTTTTACATCATTTTATTATATTTTTTGTATTGTTTAAACCTTTTTCCATCGTTTTGAAAACTACAATTTTGGTAAACTTAATTTTAGTAAGTGGTATTACATGGTAAAAAGGCAAATTGTACCAACCACAAAACACTTTGGGATTAAAATTGTTTTATTTTATTCCCCCCATTTTGTTTAGTTGTAAAAAACTGGCAAACTATAGTTTTAACCTAGTAACAGACCAACGTGAAGTTTTCTTAACCAGTGTCATAAAAGAGGTCCCAGTTTTTTAAAACTACTTTATTACTTGAGACTCCCATCACCAGCTGATGAAGTTGGCATCAGTTCTTAGATAAAAATAAAAGTAGGGCGACAACATCTCTAACTTTGACAGTCTGTTGGTAAGGAAATGCAACTTAAGACAAGCAAGCTTGGACTCATGGTTAGCAGGAACTGATCTTTTAAAATAAAGTACTTATAACACATTTAAACGTATTTGATGACGTAGGTGACAGCCAGGTGTTTTGACATCTCTCCATCACATTCTTCCCACAGGGAGCCAAACAAAACAGGACTGGTCCATCCCATGGCCCACCTCTGAATCTGGTAAAGAAAACACCCCGGTGTGCCAGCCAGAGCCCAGTCAGTGGATTCGTTTCCAGCTCTCCCAAAGCCCCCAAGTCCAATCCAAATACAACCAGCACATGTGCCACAGTCCCCAGGCCTTGCCCCCCCCATTGTACGCTGATAGACTTACTGTTGAAAGCCCAGCCACGGGACTCTTCCCATCCTTGGACTTGGGCCATCGCTCACTGCCCCCATCACCTCGCCAAAGGCATTTTGGCCACACGCCTCCTCGGACTCCTTTGGTGGTCAACACCATGACGCCGCCTGGCACTCCCCCCATGCGACGAAGAAACAAGGTGAAGGCCCCCGGAACGCCACCTCCACCAAGCCGCAAGCTCATCTACCTGCTGCCTGGCTTCACCACACTGCACCGCAGCAAATCCCACGAGTTTCAGCTGGGGAACCGCATGGAAGAAACGCAGACACCAAAGTAAGTGATGTGTTACTCTGTTAGCTCCCGGAGTGCGTCTTCTGTTGAGAACAATATAATGACTCTTAGTTATTAGTGCTAAAAGATGCATATTTGAGGTCTATATGTGGTCATCAGGTTTAGCAAACACAGATATCTGAACCAGGATTCTCAGAAATAAATTTGGATCCTAACTTTCCTTTTAGCAGTTTCACTAGAATTAGAACTTTTAACTGAGCCCAATCAGATTAATTCCTAGGAGGATGCTCATAAAGAAGCACTGGGCTGTCGTCAGAGATAAGGGACCTTCAGGTTTAGTTCCTGACCGGCCATCTCTATGTCTGGTGCTATGCTGATCAGATTTGGCCGTAAACAGGGTCTGTGACGGCAAGGTAATCAGGAACTAGAGTCTGCCTCAGGAGAGCTGCCCTCATTTTGATAATGTCATTAGATGACGATGACCTCCTACACTGGATAAGTTGTTATTCAGGAGTTGTCACATGCTTTTCAATGACCATCCGAGGTTTATTTTCCTTATGCTTGCTAGCCCACAAGGCGACAACCACACACGATGGTGTCCGTTGGTGCCCGTTGGTGCATGCGTGAGCGTATCTGTGCTCAGTGGATCATTGCAGCAGTGAATAGACTGAAACAGCATTAGAGAATTGATTACCGGTCCCCGAGCGCTGATAGACTGCAGGCGACATGTTGAGCCTCTCTAATCAATGGTCTGTGTGTGCCTGGAAACGTTGCATCTTATTGAGAAAGGGCAGATCTACTGGCTGCTCTGATTGCCAAGTATCTCTGGTAATACATCATAATTGGTTGAAAAACGGTGCTGGCAAGCATCACGTTGGCCGTTTTTAGTTCTGGCATGAAGCACTTGTTTGATTTGTATCTGTACGTGCGATGGAACTGGCTTTCCTGCAAAGTTGGCATCTGTTCTTCCTCTTCATTATTTCAATACCTCACGAAGAAGTGAAAACACTTCTTTAATTGAGCTCAGCAGCACTCTGGTGAACATCACGCACAAACGTTTTACTGAAATAAATATTTTAAGCATCATAAAAAATGTTTAATTAAATGGCTGCATTTACATTTCACAGAATTACTCCTAATAACTCTAGTCTAGATTCTAATAAGCTCACACTGCTCATTCTGTCCTCATTTTCTTGTGCTTAATTGCCTGGCATCATGACCGGGACACAATAACCAGGGATTACACTCTGACCTCTAGAAGCATATTTCACCCTAATATCTCATTGTCACTGCATAATATGCCATGGCTGAACGTGCAAAGCTGCTCGGCACAAGTCGAAGGAGGAATTGAGTTTAAATTTTCAGCTGACAAATGCATTGCCCTTCAAAACTAATAACAGCATGTTGTGTTCCTTTTGCCTTAAAAATGCTGGTTGAAGACATATTCAAGGGACAGTTCAGCTCTTTTGAATTGTGGTTCCATGGAAACGTTTATTAAAAAGTACCTGATTAGATGATTAAACAAATTCAAAGTGGAATGCTGTTGTCTCAAAACATGTTCCGTCCTCAAAACCTTTAGAGCAGGTACTGCAAACGCCTTTACACTGATATCACTTGATCAATTCATGTTTAGTCCTGCAAAACATATATATTTTACCTCCCTGAAGTGCACAGCGCTCCACTTCTAACAATACCACAAGAAAGTACACGTAAAAATGTGAATTTAAATGGAATCTGTGTTATGATTTGTTGATATTTCTGTTCTTGTGCTTGTTTTGGTCACCAGTGTGTGAACAGGTCACGGATGAAATGCAAATGAGCTTATTTACCAATTAAAACCATTAGAAGTATTGTTTTTGCGGTGCACTGTTTTCAGAACATCTAGAATGCCATTTCTAGTGGAAAAGAGCTGCATTTTATTGTTACCTGCGAAGTATTGCTTTTATTTTCTGGTCTTTCAGCCGCCATTGTGTAAAAATTGTTTATTCTTCAGGTTGCAAACTCAGAAAATGTGCTGGTCTGCTTGTCAGAAATCTCATCATTTGCTCTGTAGCTTCATGAATTGCAGCTGAATGTGTTTGTCTCTGTGATAATGTGTTTCTTCTCTCAGGTTGCAGTAAACTGCAGAATGGTACCCGCCCCCCCCCCCCTTGCCACACACACACACACACACACACACACACACACACTCTAGCCCCTTTAAAAATAATGAGCAAATTGCCGCCTTACCGATGTGTTCAGTCTTATCTTATCTTATCTAAAAACGTCTCACCTGGGGATGAAACATCCAATTTTACAAGTTGTGACACAGAAAAGAAACAAACTTTCATCCATGTGCTGGAAATACAACTTTATTTTTCCTCACCTCCTGTTGAGTCCATATATATTTAGCCGTGTTTTGCGTCACCCCCTTTTTAACCCACTGGCAAATATTTCTGTTTTTGTTTTTCTCCCTAAAATCTCAACTGTTGTCACTTTTAGCCCTTTTCATTATGATAATATTTGTAGCTCTCAGTTTTAGGAGTGATTAAGAAGAAAGCTCTACAGGGAATCTGAGTGCTAATTGTAAGATTAGCAAATGTCTAACACATCCACATATCAAGGATGCTCAATTAAAACAATTAGGTGGGCTGAATATAGGCTTCTAAATTAAATATATTGTGTTTTCATTTAGGAGTGGCTAATGGTTTGAGTAGCAATACAAATGTTGCTTCTTAATCAATTTTTCAGACTCGAGTGAAATTAACATTAGCGCTCATTAGTCTTAGGTAATAAAAAATTCAGCTTAAAAAAACACTTTTTCCTCCTAAACAGTGTGTTATTTTATTTAAAAGTGGCAGATGTGTTCTTCTAAACAACAAAATCAACTTTAAGTTGGTATTTTGTGCATCTTTCCAATACATAACATCGAATGGTCTGGGGAGTAATGCATGTATTTAAAATATAAACAATAAAAGCATTTTGTAAAATGTTTTGTAATGTAGTGTAGAAATGCATCAAGCAAGAGTATTTTTGTAGACTGATAAGGCATTTGCACATCTGGAAATGAATCAAAGTGATAAATGTACTGGAAAAATAGATCCTCTGGTCTTTAAGACGATGCACAATCTTGCCATTTGGTAGTACGAAAAACAGATATATTTAATTTCTGTATTCTTTAAAGAAGTCATATTCTTTATTTTTTCTTCATTGCCATCTGAGACCAAGCTGACTGCACAGCCATAGATAGTTTAACTCTAATGTAAAATATTGTGTTTTTACAACTAAATAAAGTGTTTTACTGTTATCTTGTTCAGCTTATAAGCGTAAAAAAAAAAAAACCCAGGAAGAAATCACATAATTTAATCAGGGTCCTTCAACAGATGTTGACAGTAAATGTTACAGATGCTGCATATTAACAAGGAGTTAATCCCAGTAATTACTGTTTGTTTCACTGGCTTTTCATTTGAGCCTTATCATCAACATCAATATCATCATAAAGCCCATTTTTAAACCTGATTGGAGAATCTGATACCCAACCTTTGGTGTTAGTTTAAAGATAAAGCCCATGTGGAACTGTGCCTATCAGAAACCTTTGATAAGCTGTGGAATCATGAAATGAAAATTATTATCATCTCTATTTTTTTGGCATTCCTCACTGACCTCACATTGTGTAGGTCAGTGAACAAGGCCAGGCTTATTCTGGCAGATCCTGATCACCCACTCCATGGTGAGTTCAGGTTGCTTCCATCTGGATGCAGGTATCTGCTGCCCAGATGTAGAATGAACAGCCTGAAAAACTTTCATTCATCCCTGTAGTGATCAGGCTTCTCAATGAACAGTGATGATTTCATGTATTGTTATTTTAATGTCTTGTCTAGTATGTTTTTATGTGTCTACTGACAGTGACACAAATTGCCCCTTGGGGATAATAAAGATTATTGAACTTCCACTTTATGTTTGGAAAACATCAGGGGAACACTGGTAATACTTGAGAAAACAATTTAATTTGAAAATGTTTTATTGGTCTGCGGTTGTGAGGCCAGTTGGATGTGCTGCCAAATTCTCTGAACATGGACATTCCTGCAGTCAGCATGCTACTGCACACTCCCTCAAAACTTGTGACATCTGTGGCATTGTGCTGTGTGATGAAACTGCACATTTTACAGGGGCCTTTTATTGTGGGCAGCCCAAGGCACACCTGTGCAATAATCATGCGGTCTAATGAGCATCTTGATATGTCACACCAGTGAGGTGGATGGATTATCTCTGCAAAAGAGAAGCGCTCACTTGTCAAGATCGGTTAGTTGGTGAAACCCAAATGCAAGCAGCGCTCCAGCAAAGTCACAAAAACTGTTTATTTGCACAAAAGGAAAGCAAACATATATTGCTGATGGGGCAACGGCGCTCGTAGGAAATACTCGGAATACCAGGAGGCGAACGTGAAGGAGCAGCATGACAATGCTCCCCTGCCTGAGATGCAGGAGAGCACTGCATATAAAGGAGAGATGTTAATTATCTCAAATACAAACCACCTGGAGAGTAAGTTACTAATTATGTGTGCAGGGCAGGGCAGGTGCAGATCCCTACATCACTTACACAGATTTACACAAATATTTGAGAGAAAAAGTCATTTTTTGTACATAGAAAAAGTCCGTTATCTTTATCTGTTATCTTACCTTTGAGTTCAGCTCATGAAAAGTGGGAACAAAACCAAAAGTACTGCATTTGCATTTTTTTTGTATGCATTGCATTATTTAGGTAGCTAGTGGTCTGCATGCCCACCACCACCTGGATTCTAATTTAGAGCAACAGCAATTTAATTTAGGTTACATTGCACTCTCTACGTGCGTCTTGTTTTGATGTTGTTCATTTTCAGCATCTCTTTGGCCCTCTCTTGTATCTCTCTTCATGCCCTTTTCAAAGTGGAGAGGCTATTTGGACTGGAGTGTCAATAAGTGAACCTAACTGTCTATGCTAATGAGTGGTAACATGCATTTGTGGAAAAGGCCAAGTGAGTTTTCAGTCTGACACGGTCCCACTTGGCACGTCACGCCAAGATC